GGAACATGTCGCATTAGTTCAACGGGAAATTTGACCCTTTTCCCTTGCTAAAAAGGATCATATGCTGGAAAGCTTCCGTCGCTAGTGAATAAGGGTATATTTGAACCAATCTTGTAATAATAGAGATATATTTGACTCCACTTATAAACTGTGACGACCCAAGGGGTCATCACCGTAATTCTTCCTTGTTCCGTGCTCCCGAGGCCTTGAAAACCTCGCTTTTAGTTGCCTCGATTGGCGTGCGCAGTTCGGGCGCGTAGCGGGAAAGTTTTTATGTTAGAATATGTGAATTATGTGAAATATTTGATGAATTTTGGTATTAATATGCATAATGTTGACTTCGGTCAACATTTTGGGTAAACGGACCCGGACCTGTGATTCGACGGTCCCGGAGGGTTCGTAGAAAAATATGGGACTTGGGCTTGTGCCCGGAATCAAATTCTGATGTCCCAAGCCCGAGAAATGAATTTTTGAAAGAAATTATTTTTCTGAAATTTGATAAGAAAATTTGAAATGAAAAGGAGTTAGAAAATATAGATATCGGGCTCGTATTTTGGTTCCGACGCCCGGTACAAGTCTTAAATATGTGTTAAGCACTATCTGTAAAGTTTGGCTAAAAACGGACGTCATATGACGTGTTTCAGACTAAAAATGGAGAATTTGAGTTATGAAAGTTGAAGAAAGAAAATCATGTGTTTGAGGCTTGATCCTATGTATATGATGTTATTTTGGCGATTTGATCGCACGAGTAAGTCCGTAAGATGTTTTTAAGGTTGTGTGCATGTTTGGTTTGGAGCCCCGAGGGCTCGGGTGAGTTTTGAATGGGGCCCGGGAGGTCTTGGACTTAAGAAAATGCAGGTTCAGGTGTTGCAGACACCAGCGCGGCCGCGGTCATTTCCGCGCGGTCCGCGCTGGAGCCGCGCGGCCGCGATGCATTTTTGTGCGGTCCGCGTGGCTGAGTCTGAGGGCTAGGGTTTCAGGTTAGCCAGCGCGGCCGCGCACCAAAACAGTGCGGTCCGCGCTGGAAGGGTTCAGAGAAGCCCCACTTTTCTCCCACTCGGCGCGGCCGCAACACATTTTTGTGCGGTCCGCGCCAGGTCCTCAGAAAGGTATACAAGTTCGGAAAATCTCAGTCATTTTTCACTTTTCAAAAACCCAAAACCTAAGAGGCGATTTTCCAAACAACTTTTTTTCTCCAAAACGATTGGTAAGTGATTTCTAACTTAATTTCTTTATTCCTTAACATCTTTTAACATAATTTCAACTTCAAATCAAAGATTTTCATGGGGAAAATTGGGTGTTTTGGGTAGAACCTAGGTTTTCTACAAATTGAGAAGTTGGACCTCAATTTGGGGTCCAATTTAAAAACAAATCATCTATTGGGATTCATGGGGGAATATGTAACCGGGTTTTGGTCCGAACCTCGAGTTTTGACCATGTGGGTCCGGGGGTATTTTTGACCTTTTTGGGAAAAACCTTGAAAAATCTATTTTCATGCATTGGGGATGATTCATTTAGTAATTATTAATGTGATTAAGTAACTTATGACTAGATTCGAGCGGATTGGTGGTGGAATCAAGAGGTAAAGCTATACTAGAAGCGTGAGTTGAGTTTGGAGCATTCGAGGTAAGTGTTTGTTCTAACTTTGGCTTGAGGGA